ACCGGATAAATGAAACCACAATATCCTCATACAGATTTTAAAACAGCCTTGTGCATTGGAACATTCTTAGTAGGCTTTATCAATCCAAATAAAATTATGGCACATTGTCAAAACAATTATATTTGTAGTATATTATTTTGCAATGAAAATGTTTCCCCATGTATTGAAGGGGTTTTCCCACAGATACTACTGAATTTCCAACTTCCTTGTTTCCTATTCTCGTGACAAATAGTGTTGCAGTTCTACTAAGGTAGGCTTATATTTTTAAGTACTATTTATAGTGTTCAGATTTCTTTAGCAGAGTTTCTATAAGAAGACAGCAGATGAACTGGTTAATCTGTGTATCAGAGAAACGAATTTAGCTGTAACAAGCAATCCAGCATGACCAATCATCACAACTTTGTAATTAGTTATCTAGTATTGTTTGGCTAAGATACTAAACATAGGATACTTTTATTAACATGCACAGTGCCAAGTTTTGCTTAATATATTGTATTAAAATCTAAATCTATTTTCTTATATTAAAGAAGCACTGGAAAATACATTGATAATGCACAAAAGCAAATGTACTCTTACAAAGTCAGAGAAAAGAAAACAAATTTAACACTTGCTCTTTGAGCAGAAGTTGTAAGTTCACAAGAAGTCCTCAAGGATCATGTGACATATGACTGGGAAACTGCAATCCTATCTAGCAATAAAGATAGAAATTCACTGGACCTACGCATCCCAATAGCCATGGTCACTCAATCTTGGTAGCATTGAGCAAAAGTTGGTTCTGGCCCACACAGGAATTCAACAGACTTATTTGACTGGACTGAGGTTGACAGATATAATTTGGTACCAATAACATATTTGCTAGATAGAAGATGATGGAACTTGCTAAAATTGCTAAATTGACTTCTTTGATCAGAGAAAAGACAGTAACTATTTATTGCCGATTGGAAACCTTTTACAAATGTTTTGTGTGAAATAGGAAAAAAATGAAGTTATGATTTATGGGTTTTATGATTCGAAAGGATAGATTATAGAAAGAAGAGTTATATTGTAACCATAGAGTAAGAGGTAAATTCATAATTGTATTTATAACTGCTATAAAAATAGAATATCTTTATTGTCATTGTGTAACTCACAATGAAATTAATTAATTAAAAACATGGGTATCTACTTTTTTGTATCTTTTTCCTTTTCCTTTTCACCCTTTCTTACACTTTTAACTTCCTATTTTATTTTTAATTTTTATTTTTCTTCCTTTATAGTTACAACTGTAGAAATGTATCATTGATATCCAAATTGGCGCCATATAAATTTAATAAATATTAGTTTGTATTATCTTTTTTTAAAAAAAATCTATAATAAAAATTTAAAAGGTACACTCCTACATTTAACAGAGATTTAAAGTAATCAGTCCTAATTTTTTTTAAAAGAATCTTTGTTAAGATATTTAAATTTAATGGATAGAACAGTAGGGTTGTACAATGGCCAGAATATACAGTTGTAGTTGATTGGTTGGAGAGTGCTGGCTCCTGTGTGAAGCAATCTACGGTGTGATTGGTTGCTATGGATGTGGAGGGGAAGTTTCCCTTTTTTCCTGCCTATTTCTTCTGTGTAGTCTGTGATTTACATCATGATGTTCCTGATTGCCTGATTATCTTGTTTGCTGTAAATATAGATCTAAAATATATTTATTTATATAAAATACAAGTTTGTTTCAGCATCTTTGACTTCATTTAGACACCTGCTGCGCAATTCCCTGACAATCTTCATTAGATCTTTTCTTCAAATCAATCACAGTATCTCTTTGCTATTCCTTAAATCAGCTCAGTTGTATCTGCAGAAGAACAAAATCAGGAAGATGGCAGATGGGGCACTGCATCATAGGCTATGTGCCTTTCAAACACTTGCCAACATCACATCAAAATGAATGGTACTGGCACCGTGATGTTCCATCTGCCATCTTGCTGATTTTAAACCCTCCTCTGCAGATTCTGCTGAAGGTTATAAATCCAAAAAAAGGAAACTGCTACTTTAAAAGTTAAGATAGAAGCATCTTTTTCAGCTTTGGGTGGAAGCTTGCTTTAATTAATAGCAAAGAGGTGTTATGCTTGCATGTGGTCCAAACTATATCAAATTTAATTGCCTACCTACTCTAATCTTGGTAAATTAACTTGCTTAGACTCCATTTTTAATAAAAAGGTTCAAATGCTGCATTAATGCAAAAATCAAGATATAAAATGCAATTTTATTATTTATTTAAAAGTTTATCTTATCATCTTATCATCAAGGTACCTCTGGGGGGTTTACAATTATGATAGATAGATAGATAGATAGATAGATAGATAGATAGATAGATAGACAGACAGACAGACAGACAGACAGATAAGTAATAAAATGGGAGCATAACAGTAACAAAAACTTTGAGGTACTATTAAAGCATTTTTCATTATGGACTTATGCAAAGGGCACAATGTCATGTGAAGGATACGTTTAGTACTTGCATCACAACTGATATGTAAATCACATCATTTTTGTCAACATGCCATCATTTACCCCATTGCAAACACCTGTTCTTGCAATATATCATTTACATTTTGTTGTGCATTTGCACACTTGAAACATAAGAAAACAGGAAATTCAAGATGAGATGAAAAGTAGGTGGTTTTGCAAAACCATGCAGTTTCCCAAAATGAACATGAAGCATAGCTACTCTGAGAGCTAAGTTATTATGTGCAATAAAACTTTGCAACTCATAAGTCACTGTTTGCATACTGTACTTTGAATTATTAAATGTGTATTATTTATATGCTAACATATTTTTTCATATTCTTAACTAGATATAAAATATGTGACAGTGCATTCAACTAACACTATTCATTTGCTTATATGTGTTTCATTATTTCAGTAAATGCAAAATGTATAAAATACATCCAAAACTCAAAGAGGGTGAAACTCTTATTTCCTAACCCATCTTTTAACTCTAGAGATGCTTGATCTTCGAACATTCAGAACATGCAATAAAGCAATGGGCTATTGTCCCCCTTTCTAGCAATGTTTATTGATTCATCCCTAAACAAAGATTTTATTTGCTTCACCAATTTTTGGGAGGTTAAACATGTTGAACCTAAATTCAGATGCTCAAAGAAAATTGTTTCAATTATATGCAAGCCCTATATTTTTTTCTTCCATTCAGTCATGCCTGATTCTTGGAGACTTTTGGAGGCTTTCACAAAGAGACTGGACTTCAAAAGAGAGTGGACAACCATTTGTCTGAAATGGTGTAGGTAGAGTCTCCTGCTCAAGCAGAGGGTTGGACTAGAAGACCTCCAGGGTCCCTTCCAATTCTATTAATCTATGTTCTATGACTACCTGGACAACTCCTTTCAGTTTTCTTGGCAAGGTTTTTCAGAAATGATTTGCCATTGCCCTATTTATAGGGCTGAGAGAAAATAACTGGCCCATGGTCATCCAGTTTGGCTTTGTGTCCAGAACAGGATTAGAATTCATGGTCTTCAGATTTCTAGCCTGATGCCTTAACCACCCTATTTAGTATGACACAAATGCAGAAAAAATCCACTTTAAAAATTATTTGTAAACTGCAGTCAAGCCAAAAGAAATTTCATGTTCTTATAATTATCACAGGAGCAGAGAATGTCCTGATTTTTTTTTCCCAAGTGAAAATAAATTTCCTGCTGAGTATGATTAAAACCCAATTCCTTATTTACAAGACTGCACTTCCAAATGAACCATAACATCTAATATTCCATCCGACTCTTATCAATCATCAGCTTCCTTCCCCAAACTGTCTAACAACGGAGCCTGGAGAAACAGGACTTGCTTCAGCGTCTAATAATCCAATACTAAAAACGGATTTTACATCTTCCTTCTTAACGGCGGTTTTCACTGGAAGCTTCCTCCATTCCCGCAGGGAAAACAGAGGCCAGCTTCCTCCTCCTCCTCCTCTTCTTCTTTCCACTTTGTACGCTGCTTCTCTCACCTGGACACACCTTATTCACCTGAGGCTGCGCGGAAGCCTCATTTTCCAAGCCCGCTGCGTCCCGCTCGTTGCCCGCCCTGCCTGTTCCTGAGCGCGCAGGCGCATTGTGACTCGCCCGGCAACTCTCCTCGGGCTCGGCTTAGCGCTATCATGGCGGCAGCAACCGAGGCGAGCAGGAAGCGATGGACGAGCTAAGCGTGGCGACTGCAGAGTGAAATAGCTGCACGGAAAAAACTTTCAGGTGTCTTCCCCGAGGCGGAACCTCCCGCTTGGTACCCCTCCAGCTCAGGTCGGCAGCGCCAGTCTGGTGGCGGAGAAACGAAGAGGACATCTCCATGCCTGGATCAGCCGCCGGGCATTAGAAGGCACGTCTCCCTGCCCTTTGGCCCCGATCGCCTCGGGAGCGGAGAGCTCGGCTGGGGTGAGTGCGAACTTCCTCGGCTGGCCCGACTTCGTCCTTGCACCTGTGACTGCGCGCACGAGGGGCAAGAAGCAGGAACAGCTTCTTGCTCCTACCGGGGCTGCTGAAAGACAAGGACAGCAGCAGGCGAGGCTGGGGAAGAGCCCGGGGGAGGGTGGTGGTTCGTCTTCAAATCTATAATATCTTTTTTTATTTTTTAGAACAGTCTTGTGGGAAACCATCTTTTTTTTCTCTCCGGTGCGAGCAAGTTGAATATGTGCGGCGAGGAGGAGCTTACCTGTATGATGTGGTTGCTCCTGCTCTGGTTTTATTGAGGGAGAGGGAGGCGTGTGCTTCGAGAACAGAGCAGAGTTTTATAGTTAGGTAGATGGCAGGCTTGCAGATATTTTTTTTGCAAGTGTCCGTACTTAACTGTTGTCTTTCTGCAATGTCCCTCTTTAAACAGACCATTGCCCAGGCCCTGACACTGAGTGAAGAAAAGGAGGAGTCTCTACTCAAGTTGCTGTGCTGCCTTCAGGGTGCTTCAAAAACTGGACCTGAAAATTCAGGCTAGAGAGTGTATTCTGTATTCCCGGAAGTGAACTTACTATGGCTAGTGAAGAAAGACAGAGGCCTTCTTCTCCGTCAACAGGGGATGATAAAGGCGGAGGAGAAGGTGGTACTGGACAAGGAAAAGATGGAAGCTCAGCAGAAAAGCAGTCTTTGCATCCAGGCATCCCTATCCGGGGTATCAGGATGAAATTTGCTGTTCTGACAGGATTGGTGGAAGTTGGGGAAGTATCCAACAGGGATATTGTAGAAACTGTGTTCAATCTGGTGAGTCACTTATCTTTCTTTTTCTCCAAATGAACAAAAAGCATATGATGAAATGATATACATTCTCTCAGTATTCACATTACTATGGTTAAACACAAATGTACACACAGGGCCATTTGTAATGGAGGTGAGTTTAGCAAGCTGCTGCATTTTACTGGAAGAAATGCCGACTAACTCATTTAAGGTTGCATTTCTTGTTTCCTTATAGTTTTTATCTTTGCTTGAATTTTCTGGGACTTTGTTACAAATTCTTGTTGTTAAACAACTTTTCTGCCACTTGTAGCTTTATAAATGTATAATGCAAGAATAGGTAGATGTTAACATTTGCACCTAAAATATGCTATTTTATGTTTGTAACATTGGACTAATATATCGTATTGTAAGCTTGCAATTGATGGCTCAGCAAATGTATAGATATAGCTATGGGATATATCATTATTTGTACTGCAGACCCTCAACTTTTCCTAGGAGTGAAAGTTCTCTTAAAAATGGGTTTAGGCTGATTAATATGAAACACAAATATTAGGCTTTGAGGAAAAATGACATTAAATATGAGTATTAGTTTGGTGGCAGAGAACAGTGATTATATGGTAATCTGTGCAATTGATATATATATTGCATAAACTTTAGAATGCAAGAATAATTACTTCTTCTGGCTCAGTCAGAATTAAAAATGATTGGTCTGATTTTTAAGACCATTTTTTGAAATGTCTCACATTTGAAATGGCTGAAATAAAATTGTTTGGGCATACAATATGGATAATTTCACATTCCTCATGAGATCTTTGCTTAAAAGTTGTAGCCTACAATTTTCATAAAGTTCTACTTGAATTTGATATACGGTAACTTGGTTTAAATAAAATCTGAAATGTTTACTTACGTCTAATTAGGCTTTGCAATGTAAATTAGAGAAAGAACATTCCTAATTTAATAAAACATGTAGTAAAGGTATTATAAGAAGAGAAAATTTGTGTTGTTTTATTCCTGGTATATTTATAATAGTTCTTTACTTTGAAGTGTGAGTTAGGGATTATGTATGCATATTCATTTAAGCCCTAAGCATTTGCTAGAAGTAAGTTGGATAAATAGAAGATTTGTCAAGAATAATTGTGGCATAGATTTATTATGCCATAAACATAAAGTGATTATTCTAGGCTATATACTGCACTGGTCTCCATTTGTGGTTTTTTTGACTTAAAAATCCAAAATATTTACACTTTTTTCTATAGCATTAGCAGAAGATCTCACATATTAATTCCTGGGTTCAAAAAGTATTTGACATACTTTTTATGCTTATGGATATATAAAAGTTTGTTGAACTCTCTAGAGCATTGCAGCATTTTGTACACAGTATTGCAAGTGTATAGAATCAGCAGTTTGGTGTATTTTATTTCAGCCTATTTGAAAACAATTATAAGTCATATTTAAAATATGAGTTTTGTTAAAAATGATTCAAATTGAATTATAGAACCTTGCAGAAACTAAATATAACATTGCCCCCTCCCCCCACACTAGACGTATACCAACGTACCTTTACAGTGAATTGGATTTTTGTCAATATCTGCCTGGCATGTTACTATATGTGAATAGACTATATAAATTGGTCACAGTTAGAAATATTTGAAAGGACCTAGAGTGGGACAGGTTATCCAGTATGATTGGCTTTTCTTTTGTGAAATAGTAGGCATTTTTTGTCATACACAGTGTTTTGACAGCTGAGTAATAGGCAGGGCTTGAAGTAAAGAAACAGTGGGAACACCAAATTTCATTGCACATCTTCTACCCAATCCCATTTCCATCTGGCAGCTTCCATCTAGAGTACTTTGACATTAGTCTGGATACAAGTTTAGATCTATGCTCTAGAAATTCAGGTATACTGGTAGATGTGTTTTATTCCTACTGAGAAATAATGTAATGCATAATGCTGTGATTGGGCTTCAGTTTGAGAAGTATATACTCTTTCCACCAGCCAATGCTTTCCTTCCTCATGAAGAAAATATGTTTATTTCTATGAGTTGTATCTGTTTATTTTTTAATCAGACTTTCCATACTTAATAGTGAAAATTTCTGAAGTATTTATTTTAACTAAGGTAAATACAGTTTGCCAATTGGGCAGGGCTCATAAACGCTCCTTTTCTTGCCACTGAATATGTTCCTCATCTTGGGCAGTGTGATGTGACTCTTGGTCATATTCTGATTCAGATACCATGGCTCCTCTGTTAGAGAGTTGGGGTAAAAACACTTTTATTATTTTAAAAATAAAATAGAACACTGTTCTGACCCAGACCTTCATGAGTAATGATCAACTTCTTACTCATGAATAAAACCCCTTTTATTAAACAAGGCAGGAACAAACTTTGTTCACATGAGAACGCCAGATAACCAGTCTTTAAATGTTTAACCAAGCAGTAGCAGTCCCTGCTCACACTGGCTGAGACAATGTCAATGTCTATTTATGTTCTAGCCAGGGAGTGGCTGGCTAACGTCTCCTCCTTTTCCCTGAGAGCTGGCCCATTGCCTTCCATAGCTCTCCTCTCTACGCATACGCGCATCTGGGATGGGCCCCATCTGTTCCTCCTCCTCACTCAGCTCAGGCCCCGAAAACAGCTGCCTCTCTGCCTGAGCATGGGCAGATGGCCCTGACTCTGCGTCTGGCTCTGAGTTTTCTTGCTCACCGGAGCCTTCCAAAAGCTTCGAAGTTAAGGCTCCCCCTCCCCCTCCTCTTCCTCATCTGACTTGGCTGCCAGCATGGCAGCCAATGGACCACAACAAACACTAGAGAAAACTTTGACTAGAGAAGCTAGAAAAATGGTTTACTATGTCCCCATAACTTATTAAAAATTGAAAATTTCAATTGTGGGAAGTTCAGGAAAATTGTAGCAACAAGTGCACACACACACACACACAGTATGAAAAAGAGAAAGAATCAGGTTTGTATATACTGAGACAATAACCATTGAGGGATTACAGCCATTTTAATACACCTGCTCCATTTTTGGTGATGGATAAATGGCTGAGAAGCATTTTTATGGCCAGGTGTGGCCTGCTCCTTTTTTATTCTGTGACAAATCAAGCAGATAAAGATATGAAGTTGGTTCTGAGTGTTACATTTGCATTTGGTAGCTGTTCACTGGAACACTCAACATGAGGTCCAAATAGGTGTCTATGCAAGTAAACGAGGCCATAATTAGTCTGAAAAAGCAAAATCTATGAGAAAAAGAGAAAAACCACTGGGAATGGCCAAAACAATATTTTGAAACTTTCTTAAAAAGAAGGAATTAACAAGAAGGCTCAGCAATACCAAAAGGCCTGGAAAGTCATGGAAGACAAAGTGGATGACTGCAGAATTCTGTCATTGGGTAAGAAAAACCCTTTCACAACATCTAGCCAAGTCAAGAACACTCTTGAAGTAGATGTGTCATTGTTAAAGTTTACAGTCAAGAAATGGCCTCATGAATGTAAATACAGAAGTTTCACAACAAGATGCAAACTCTAGCCACACTCAAGAACAGGCAGGCAAGATTAGACTTTGCCTGAAAACACCTTTAAAAGCCTTCCCAGTTCTCCAATAGATTCTTTGACTGATGAAACCAAGATTAACTTGTACCAGACTGATGAAAAAAATATGGAGAAGAAAAGGAACAGCTCATGATCTGAGCATACCAATCATTTATCAAACATGTTATGCATGTGCATGTATGGCTGCCAGTGGGTCACTGGCATTTATTGATGACCTAACTGCTGATAAAAGTAGAGGATGAATTCTGACGTGAATAGGACTATAGTCTCTGCTCAGATTCAACCAAATGCTGCAAAAACTTGATAGGATGCCGCTTCATATTGCAGATGGATAATAACCCAAAAACACAAAGCAAAAGCAACCCAAGAGTTCCTCAAGGCACAGAAATCGGATATTCAAGTCAGTCACCTGATCGCAAATAAATAGAGCATGCTGTTACTTATTGAAGACAAGACTGAAAACAGAAAGACCCACAAACAAGCAATAGTTAAAGGTAGCTGCAGTAAAAGCAAGGCAAAGCATCTCAAAGGAGGAGTTCTAGACTTGGATTTTCATCCAAGTATTAAAAACAATCCTTATATTTATAATATTGTTAGTTTGTCCCATCATTTATGAGCCACCAAAAATGGGGTTGGGTATATTAAAATAGCTGTAGTTCCTCAATGGTTAATGCCATACTTTTGTTAAACCCCATGAATTAAAGCTAAAAGTCTTTGCTCACATCTTGATTGTTTCATTTAAGATTCAATGTGGTGGTATAAAGAGCCCAAATGCCAAAAAACCCCTTATCATTGCCCCAATATATACAAACCTGATTCTCTGTGTGTACCAGTAGCCAAAACAAAACTAAAGCTAGTAAATTTGGTCAAATACTTGGGTAGTTCAGAGAGAATTTTGCTTGGCTAATAAACACCACAAACTAAAACAATAAACTAGGAGTTAAGAGACAAGAATGTTAAGAGGAACCGAGGACAGATATTAGATTCATTAAACAAATATCCACAGAAAACAGTTTTCCAACAAGGAAGTTTACAGCTTCCTGTCCTAGAGCTGACTGAGCTTAATAAGAGGTGTAGATGTATCTTACAGAACTGTGCTGACCTCCACTGTACAGCCTATTTTAGTATATGATTTAGTGCTTGGTACTTTCCCAAAGAGAGTCTCTGACTCTTTTCTACTGAATTCAGTGGCCACGTGCACTGAGTCATACCTATCATTCATAGGTGGCTAATCACTGGTTGCCTCGTGAATTGCAAGCTGAGAGACCTCTAAGGTTTTGCTCTTCAACCTCAGAAAACTCCATAACAGGTTGTGCATGAATATACCAATTTTCTACGTATTTATTTTTGTAATCTATCAAATTAATTTGAAATGTCTAACCAGTTCTATTGTTTTATGAGATTCTAGTACAGTGCTTCCCAAACTTTTTCCTTCATTACCCAAAACCACTTATCAGAAAGTCTTACTGAATTTTGAGGAC